AAGATCAATCGAAGCCAATAATCTCTATTAATGAATGCTCATACTCCTATGCTCATAGGCAACTTCACCAGTTGGCTTCTATTCTCGTAAGGATTGGATGTAATTGATATTGAGAATAATGTTAGAAGTTTGTGCTAAGGGCAACTCCAACCCTTGCTCCAAATCCTCATTTTTCTTCATTTTTGCACCAAATATTTGGTGTAATCTTACTTCAACCCAACACCAAATTTTGCACCAACATGTTTAATGTTACAATCTGATAATTCAACCGATTTATAATTATTAAATTCATATTCGATTTACTATGTTATCGAATATCTGATTCAATGATCCGATCCGAAATATTTTATCCATATCATTTTTATTTTTTTTATTGAAAAGAGGGGATTCTCAATTTTAATACAAATTTTATTATAATATGTATATATTAACTATTTGTAATAAATTATGCAGTAATATATAACATATATTTTTGTAATTAAAATAAATCCGATCAAGTTGTTATTAGATTAAATTGATTATATCCATATTTGCTCCATTTATCTAGCGAAAAATCGAGTATCCACTGGTACACATCACTTGGATCATGTTTGACCACTTGTTGGAGAAGTGAACCAACAACTCAATCCTTGATTCCAATTTTATCAAATTCGAATCTTGATTGATTATAGCCTTTATAGGACTGAGGCCATATATTCACCTCCCATTAATTTCATTGGATTCTAATCGAATTTAAATCAAAATTCAATCCATTAATACTCCTAGTTCTATATGGTTCAGATATCATATCAAATTTAGGAATGGTCCCATCCCAATTTTTATTTTTTTTAAAAATTTATTGTATTTAAAAAAAAAATTTGTACTATATGTACATGATAGATTTATATAATGGTTTACACACACATACACACACAATGTGATTAGATATAATTGAGTCAGAATTCCTTCAATCAAATTTTTTTGAAAAAAAATCTCAATTTTTTTTTTTGATACCTTATATGTATGTAAATCATTATATAACATATTATTTACAAGTATCATTATTCTTAAAAAAATAATTAATTAAATAAGAGGGTAAATGGAGATTTTTTATATATTTCCTATCCATACTCGGCTCTCGTCTTGCTCTTGCCCTCACCCCCACCTTCTGCAAATTCCCCGAGTTGAATGATTGCTCCGATCCTCCGTTCACGTTGTCATTGCTAATCAAACTTGAACATTGGATACATGTTTTTAATCGAAATAACATTATAGAATGTATTACATTTTAATTGACCGCCCATTTCAAGGCATTCTAGGAATTTAGCACCGTGTGAGATAGTCCGACATTCTACTACTCATTTCATAGCTGAAATTTAATAGTTCTAATGAGTTTATATACACAAATAACGTAAGTCGAAAACATAAATAAATAATAATAATAATGAGGTCTTGTTTGCAATACACAAACAGATATTGCTCGAGTTCCGCTTGAACCAACATTATGGACTTAAAAATCAAAGCCCAGTACAATCAAACATAGGCCTTGTTCTAATGGCCCAAATGGCCAATACATATTTTGACCACAAATTATGATCACGCCAAAAATTCAAAAATTTTACTCAAAACACTAAGTCCCTCTTTGCTATGGATTAAAATTTAAGTTAAAGTTCATAATTAATTTTAATCACACATTTTATGATCATTAACTTTTCAACCATATAATTAATTAACTTTTAAAAAAATCTGCTAAATATCTGATTTTAATCCCCATCAAATAATGGCTAAACTTGTTGGAGGAATTTTGTGAATAGTGACGCCAAAATAAGTATAATGATGGTTTGTAAATCCGTGCCGAAAATTGGATAGAGTAACGGCAAAGAAAACATAAACAAGAAGAAGAAGAAAGTAGGGACAAAGACGAGGCAAGAGTTGGATTCTTTGTCCTTAAGTCGAATTTGCCCCGCAACGGTGCCTACGAATTTCGGCAATCGACTCCCAAGATACAACGGCTACACTTGTGTTTGTAGCACTCCAAAACACACAAGTACAACGAACCAAATTTAGGCTTATGTACTCCAAGGATGAAATGAAGGAAAATCAAAATAAATGAAATGATTTTGATTTTGGATAGAAGAGAGGATGAGAGATGTTTTGCATATCAAATTATGAGGAATAGGACACCCAAAGGGTCCTATTTATAGACCATGAAAGAGTGTGGACGAAATGGTTGAGGTCAAACCATGCACCCTTTCCAAACAATGCACCTTTATGAAAAGGTGTCTATTCACCGGACAACCGTACGGTTTACCAACCTTGCGGTCGCACGGTCAAATATTTTGACCTGATTTTTGTCCTTTTTAGTAATTTCTCATTCATCCAATATTGGTTTTCGAAATACCAAATATACCCTTCAATATATGCAGAGAAATCAAAATTCTCTTTCGGGGGCGTTGCCCCCTCGACCCCCGCGACCTGACCGAGCAGGTCGATCCCCGTTTGTGCGCCCCGAAGCGGCGAAGTAGCAAACAATTTTGCCTAAACGGATTGAATCGAGTTTTTGAGTATTTGGCCGAAGTCGATACGAAATCACTTTAATCGATTTTCAATTCTCGATTTATTTAACCAATATCCAACAAAACTTTAGTCCTAAATAAAGACGAATAAAACATGTAAATTTCAACTTTATTAATATGAATAATTTGTGCAATAGCAGTCATAAAAGTTTCTTAATTAGCAAAAAAATCTAGAAAAATTATATTTACTTCAAAACCGGAATACTTGAATAATTGATTTATAAGGCAGGTGAATTTCTAAAAATTTGCTTATTCATTTTACATTTTTGCTTGTAAGTAACTTTACTTTAAAAAAAAAGTGAATTTCAAAGCTCAGCCAAACATGCGTTTCCTGTATTTTATGAATTCCATGCTACCAAGTCTGTAGTGTGTAACAAACAAAAGTGTAACAGAATCCATGGCCACAAGCTATTCTTAACTTAATAACCAAGTCAGGAGGTATACATTTTCCACCTTTTCTCTTCCAAATTTCTCGCAATTTTATATCTGGGCTTCCAAAAAATTCATCGTTCTCAAAAAATTCCAGAAAAGTTATGCCGAAATCAACCCGGGTTGCTGCTTATTTTGTTCTTCTTTTAGCTTCATTAACTCTTTTTACAGAAAATTCTCTTGTTCTTGGATCCCCTCCAGAGATTTCGAGAAGGCCTGACCCGTTGAGGAAATTTAAACGATACAATGGGGATTATGATATTAGAGATATGCATTACTGGGCTGTAAGTGGAGGATAGTATTTTAATGTTCTGCATTTTCTGTCCATGATTTTTGTGCATAATTCTTAGTTTCTTCTGCGTTTGATTCCTTCAGCCGTTCAGATTGTTGTTGCAATCTAGTTTGGATTGATCACATCGTATTAAAACTTAAACTTGTGAGGAAGATGAATTTGTTTATTTTGTATTTATATTTTTAACAATCACATCATATTTCTAACCAATGTAACTTAATATGATATCAGAGCTCTTGAGTCTAAATCTTGCTTTCACCCACATTAGTCGCTTGATGGATAAAAAAAAACCTGCATGCATGTAAAGGGGCAAGTTAAAGACTTCATTTAAATAAATAAATTGTGTCCTCTCTACAATTTATAAGTTTAAGCTTTTAAATGAGGTACTTCAATATGATACCAAAGTAGATAGAATATTGAGTTCAAGTATAATTGCTACTCAAAGATCAAAAAATGTGCCATCGATATACCTATTGAGGAAAAAATGTATTGGACCCACAACACTAGAGCCTTGGTATAATAATGTAAATAGGAGTGATTGCATGTGTGCTACATGTTCTTGAAAGAGATGTAACTATGATCCAGATTTTGTGAAATTTTTGGAAAATTTTACTAAGTTCTGTGTCAACTTCAATTTTTGCCACCTTGTCAGGATTTAGTGGGCAAGGCTTGAAACTGATATTATGTTTTTCGAAACTTTGTAGTCTGCAGCATTTACAGGCATCCATGGTTATGCAATGGCTGGAATTTGGTTAGCCTTTGGTTTGGGCTGTGTAAGCTTTATGGTTCTGAAGCATTGCTCTGGACATTCTTCTCCAACTGTATATCATGGGGATTCTTCCTACTTAATACTATTCTTGCTTGTTGTTCTCTTCACTTTTTTTGCTATGTAAGTCTTTTTGCCATTGAATTTCATTTTTTCTCTTACTGCCCTTCAAATCACAAATTTGTTAAGCTATTCGTTGAACTCTTATGTAATCCATATGCTTTTATTCATGCTGCCTGATCTACCAAATATTGTCTTATAAAAAATGTCTTGGTCATAACTTCATGTTTGGTACTTGGTATTGGCCTGGACTACACTAGACTATACAATGGATAAGATTCAGTATTTTACCGTCTATCCTACCAAAAACCTATAATCGTTTAGTCCAATTTTGTGCATGATCTAGTATCAACATGATCAGAATAGACTGTACAATGGATAAGATTCATTATTGTAGTGTCTATCCTACCAGACAAGCTATAATTGTTTAGTTCGTTCTTTTGTAGAAATAATGTTTATGGAGCATGTACATCAAGAATTCGAGTATTATGTAAATTCATTAATCCAATCATTTGTAGGAACTACCTCTAATAACGAACTTGCAAAATGCCCATTGCTCGTGATCTCATTAATGCATAGTTTCTCCTCCAAATATGACTTCTCCGGTAGGTGAATGCATTAGATATTTACCCTAAACACGCAGGTCCTTGAGCAGATCCTACATTAGCCCCAAAACGTTGGTCTCTAACTAGAAAAGTAAATACATGAGCTTGACAGCTTCTAGTCCAATAGGTCCATAAAACTTGCTAGGATAAGCAGTTTGTACAATGGATAAGATTAATTATTGTACCATCTACAGTACCAAATGAGCTATCATTGTTTAGTGCATTGTTATGCAGAATAAAGTCATTTTTTTCCACCTATTCTGATCGTGCTGATACTAGAATAACTATAGTATCGATCAAAAGAACGAGTTATTTTGGTTGTACACTAATCATAAAAGACATGTAATGTTGTTGGCTTGTACAGAAGTTCTACCTTTTACTCTGCACTCAAAGTTACTGTGTTAACTAATTCTCTGTTCCATACACATTACGTAACATAATACAGATGTACATGTGCATAACACAGAATTCTTGTCTGATTCCGGTTTAAGAGACCTAACTACATACGTTCACATGTTTATTCTTGAAGAGCTGCAACTTGTGTCATAATCGCAGCAAATCAGAAGTCGCTACAGAGAGCTAACAAGCTTAAAGAAACCATTTCTGATGTTGGGAGAGATTCTTCTCAAGCCATACGAAGAGTAAACATAGCCTTTATAGATATGCAAGTGTTACTACAGCCATATGATCCAGGGACTTGCCATCAATTGAGTTTGACAACCCATCGGCTAAAAAGAGAATCGATAACTATTCAACAATTTGTTTACATGACCAGGCAATCTAGCGATCAAGCAGTTAAAATTTTGTAAGAATCTTCCTTTTTTAAATATATTTGCATTCAATTTTTTTTCACTAATCCCATGTGCTCTTTCTAGATATATGGCAAATCTTGTGGTTGTGACAGTCAATTTGGTGTTCTTAGTTGCTGGATTAGGTGAGATTTGTATATAGTAATGCATGGATGGAAATTCTAGCATATGCACATTTTGTGGACATCCAAGTAAAAATGATTCTTTTTTATACAAAACAACGAAAAACTGAATCATATTTCCAGTGAAGCTGCCAGATTAGCATCTGGGGGAGCGTACAAATTTCTTAACTAGTCCAGTTTAAAAATATTATAACATATTTAGTGCTATTTTCATTTTTGGAAAAACCATATATTTTAGATTACATTTTGATACGTAATCTCAAGAGAGAATTGGATAGTACTAGACAATATTAAGATAGAAGAATAGGTCAAACTTGTCCAGTCCTATCTAGCATTGCTTATGATTAGAGTATCTCAAATAGTTGCAAATGCTAGCGATGATGTTTATGCTGCTATTCCTCTTTATTTATTCCTTTTGAGGGTTTAGTTAGTTTCTTGTGACAATGCAACTTGGTTAGACTAACAGATTGCTGCTTTCGCTCAGTTCTGCTCCTCCTGCATTGTCAACCTGGCATGATACTGTAAGTTAAATTCAGCTCATTTTCTCATTCATATGTAGTTAATTTGATCGTTCAATGTTTGATAGCTTTTACTGCATTTCAGCATAATCTTTTGCTGCTGGGTATTGACAACTCTAATCTGGTTTCTTACCGGCATTAATTTCTTCTTCTATACGTGAGTACGACCTCTCTCTTTTTCTCTCTTGCAACTTTGATGGTATGATTAATGACAACTACTATGTTTTTATATTAACGAAACATTAATCATATCTGAACGCAGTTTTGTTATCGATACTTGTTCAGCATTGGAGAATTTTGTGCAAAACCCCCAGAACAATAGCCTGTCTAACATACTTCCATGTGCACAGTTGAAAAACAATGACAAAACATTGGTGCAAATTGGCTATACTGTTCATAGTTTCATAAAAGAGGTACTGAAGTGATCATAATACTACAGAAATCGGAGGATTCAAAATCAAATTCTATAACTCTCTTTTCGCCCTTTTTGAAGGTAAACTCGAAGATCTTAGAGGTACAAGGACTAGTTACCATGAATGAACAAAAAGATATATCAATCCAGGAAGTTTGTAACCCTTTCTCTGGTGCTCCTCATTATAGTTACACACCAGGAAACTGTGGAAACAAATCTATTTCAGTTGGAGATTTACCAAGTGTAAGTGATTCTATCCATCCTCAACTAGAAGTGTAAATAAAAATTCAACAGATAATTTTTAATCACACATTCACAACTACTACTCATTTATTATCTACAAATTTCATGGGAACCGTTGCTTCTTTTCATTGGAATCTCATTATAACTTTATCTTGAACACTTAATCCCTAAAAAAATTCTTGTGCAGGTCCTTTCGAAATTCACTTGTTACAATTCGTCAAGAAAATGCCTAGATGATGGGAGATTTCTTGCCGAGTCCTCGTATATAATTGTATGGGCTTACAGCCAGTCAATTCAAGGCTTGATACGTGTATTTCCTGATTTGTTGAGCTTGATGCGATGCTCATTCGTGATAGAAGTGTTCTCAGATATTGTTGCGCACCAGTGCAAACCATTGAAATTTTCAGTAAAACTGTTATGGTCATCTGCATTATCCCTTTCAATTTTTATGATGATTTTGGTACTACTTTGGTTGGAAAAAGTTATCCAAGATAGAGGAAGGTGCTTCAGTAGGTGTTCAATCTTCCCAAGGCCAGCAGTGTAGATGATTTGAAGCTTGAGGGTGAATTTTGCAAAAGAAATTTGTTTTGGACAGAAAAGTAGGTAGTGGGAATTTCTTTGAATAGGTGTGGCGATTCAATCCATGAGTTGCAAGACTCAATGTGAAACATAAAGAACATGTGTTTGTTGGTAGGATTTTTAACTTATTTTGTTCTTTAATATTGTCTATTGTCGTACAACTTATAACATGATGAAAAGTTCATTGTACACGACTCAATAATGACAAAATGTATTCGATTGTGAAAATTTATTGAATAAAAATTTCTTTGTATTTGTGATATCTATTGAAGAAATTAAAGGTACGTTTCGTGAGTTTAATTGAGTGTTGAACATTATTAAAGAAAGTATGCGTTTATCTGCTATTTTATTAAGTTTTTATGAAGTAAACGTTACAAAAACATATTTGCATCTACTACTTGTATGCTTGAATCATGCTTGAATGACAAAATATTATGAGAAATTTGCAGTTGAGGTTCCAAATATTGCAAAAAAGTGTATCCCAGTCCCAAATCTTTAAATCGTAATGGAAGCACCCCTAAACTTTCAAATCTTGAGATGATTTCCTTCCAAAATTCCTTTAATTGATCAAAAGTCAAACGTATAATCATAATTTGACCATTTTTAAAAAACCAAAAATTGATCTTTTAACATTTTATACTTAAAATAATTAAATAAAAATAAAAATAAATTTCTTCATTTTCCTCATCCACTCCAAACCAACCTCCCGCCCTCCACCTCGAGTCAGAATTTTGCAACTCTTTCTTCCCAAATATTTTATGAAAAAATGATGTAGTTTGTTGACCTCGGAAATTGGATCCTCCACGTGGCCAACCATAGTCACTCCACATATTCCTCCCTGTGCACAATCAACACTCGGTTAGATGCACACGACCGGAACCAGCGGGGGTGGCGGCGGACGTATACACTCCGACAATCAAGTTAGGCTCAGGTGATCGGAATAGTACCAAAGTTGTGCAAAATAGTGGGGAGGAGAATATATATTTGCTTGCTATGGAGTGCTAAGTATAAAGAGTTTCATTACCTTTTTCTCTTGCCAAGCCTTGGGTATTTATAGGTGAGGAGAGCCGTTAGATGTGGGACACGTGTATATATCTGAACGGTATGAGGCGTCTGCTCATAGGCGTCAATCAGCCGCGTCTATAGAGTGGGCGGGTAGTTACTTCTCCCGAGTTGAGTTGACAAAAAGTTGATAGTTCACATCAACTAGTCTCATGGAGACGTCAAATCACTTTAAATCTTAGGGGCAAAAAAGATCTTAACAAATATCTCATTCTGAAATCGGCGGAGGAGGGCGAGGGTGCTTCGGTCAATCCTGCAGGATTACCTATGCCTCGTAATGTGATAGCAGATCGTCTCCATTGATGAAGTCACTTCGAAACCACTTCAAATGAGCGTTCCACACCTCGCATGATGTTGTGGTGGACTTTTCGAAATAGTTCGGTTAGGGGCGTAACACAGTTCATAGCTTCAATGGCTATTCAATTCATTCAAGGACCTTGGGATTTTAGTCCTCAAATGTACTCTTGTAAATTTGTGAATATTTTTGTTTTAAATTTGGGATTATAGGTGTTGGTCGTATCAAATTGAAAGGTACGAAACGGATTTCATCAAAATAATAATAATAATAATAATAATAATAATAATAATAATAATAATAAAAGAAAAAAATAAAAAAAGAGGTTTTGATTTTTGATTATTTTTGGGTAAAAATTGGGAAGAACTTTTACCAAGATGGTACAACTCGAGGTGTGAGTTTCTATCCGGACTGAGCATACCCAAAAAAGACACAAGTCTCTTTTCGAAAATCTCTGGATCTATGCTTATTTTCAACTCCCGAAAAATATGAAAATGAAAAAATGGGAAAGAAAGAACAGGAATGCATTGGGGGTGAGTTGGTGCGAGCGAGTAAAGAAGATGAAGAAATTATTTATTTATTTAAAGTGAAAAATAGTATGAGGTCATTTTGCTTGCCCTTTTTGAATATGGTTAAATAATTGTCAGAAGCTTGAATTTTGGTACACTGACCAATTATTGGATGAGAAAGTCATATAAACGTCCTTCTCCTTCACATTTTTGAAAAGGTTTGGAGGTATCTGCTACAATTTAAAGGTTTAAGATTGTGCTGTATTTTTTTACTATAATTATTTTTTTTTCTTTTGAAGGTTTAAATTCTCCGTTCCAAATTTTCCAAACATTATTTATCAGGGTTAATTACGTGAATAGTTACTAAACTTTGTCAAGTGTTACTTCTTAAAAACGTATCTCAATAGTTACTGAATTTCGTCAAGTGTTATGCATTCATAACTAAACTTAAAAAGTATCTTAATGATCACTGAATTATGCATCGTATTATTTATTTATCTATCACTCGAATGAAAAAAATCAATTAGATTCAACAAACAGCGTCGACTTGAGTGATCAATAGGTAACACGGTATATAATTCAGTGACCATTGAGATATATTTTTAAGTTCAGTTATTAAGTAGCTGAACTTAAAAATATATCTCGCTGAATTTAAAAATATATCCCAATGGTCACTGAAGTTTGCTAAGTGTTACCATTTCATAACTGAACTTAAAAATATAGCATAATGGTCACTGAACTATGCATCATGTTATTCATCCATCACTCAAGTCGATGCCATTTGTCAAACCTAACAGATTTTCTCATTTAAGTGATGAACGAGTAACATGGTGCATATTTTAGTGACCATTAAGATGCATTTTTAAGTTTAATTATAAAGCAGTAATACTTGGTGAAATTCGATGACCATTGTGATACATTTTTAAATGCAATTATTAAATAGTAACACTTAACAAAATTCAATAACCATTCACATAATTAACCCTTATTCATAATAATAGAATCTCCTTTCATGATTTAGCTTGTATTCTCAAATTTAATTAAACAGATGATTTGGAATAAAGTTGAGATTGGATGGCTTGTCTTGCTAATTTTCTCTTTAAAAACAAATAATATATAATATAATAATTGTTTCAATCGATTATGAAAGGCGTGGGGGAGCATAAACTATTAATATTCTACATTAATTAATAATAGTGTTAATGGACATGGAGGTGCTAACTTTATTCATCAATGCGGGACCCAAGGTTACTGAACTCAACTCAACCGCTTCATCTCTCTCTTCCATTTTTAAAGTAGAAAAATCTGAACAGGGTTTTTGAAAGTTGTTTAAGAGCTAATCAATAGTACAATTTTTTCGAGAAAATTCATAAACTGATGCTCAAATTATTGAGTTTCATATGTTGACAGGATATACGAGAGCTAATAGCAGCAAACCCATGTCAAGAAATTTATTTCCTTTTGCATCTAGGTTTTCTGCAGGTAACATTAAGAAATTTCTAAATTTGTTCTTGCTTGATTTTCTGTTATTTATTAATTATTGGGGCATTTAGCTTTTGGGGTGGCTTAATGAGAAATATTTGTCTATTTGTTTGCGGATCCGAACTCTTTGAATTTATATGTATAATTTGATTGAGCTTGTTTGCAAATAGGCGTAAGTGATTTTATTTATTTTAAGTTTTAATCCATTTTTGAAGCTGATTTGTCCTCTGTGCTCTGCGGCATGGAATATGAATAAGATGATGATTAAGTTTTTGTGGAACCGAGTAATTCAAAATTTTTTTACGATTATTAGTTTTAAATTCTTCACTTTTTTTTAGTGTAAAGCATCTCAGCTTTTCAGTTCATTGTCAGTTAATTTTGATGCATAGTTTTCTTAAAAGTTTGCCTTCAAAATAATGAACCAAGTGGTTGTAATCAAATTGTTTGATTATGGTGTGTAGAGATGTCATCCTGTATAGTTGCCACTGCCAAGATAACTATTTTATTTCTTGGAAGTCACGAACTATTATGCGAGTTCTATAACTCTGACTGCATTTTGATAGAGAATACCAATATATTTAGGATATACTAGAATGCGTTCTTGATGTGTTTTTATTCATATACATTGGCAAGCATTCAGTTGTCTTCTAAATAAAATCAGTGAGGTTGTGTTTCTTAAATTCAATTATCTTATATCGAAGGGAACAAATACTGAAAATCAACCACTTTAAATTGCAATGCAGGGAGCAGCAGTTGCTCAATTTCTATTGTGATGTGGAGTGTTGTGGGATGCCTTCTTATGCTTCATTTGTACTCCTTAGTTTCTCAATCAGATAAACAAAATAAAGAGATAAACGCCAGTATGCGTAGCTACCCACTATTACTCCAACTTGAAGCAGTGGAGGAGGAGAATATAAAAATGCCTCGACCAAGGGGGCGCTCCCAACGTGCTGCTAAACGAAAACCAAGGCATACTACTACCTTAATTGATGAATTTCTTGATGATTCTTCCCCTATTAGGCACATATTTTTTCCCGATATGAAAACGGCTATAGATCCTAATAAAGATGCTGGCAACAACAGTCTATATTATTATCCAGGGAAAATATGGTTGGACACTGAAGGAAATTCTATTCAAGCCCATGGAGGTGGGGTTCTATTTGATGAGAGATCAAGGACTTACTACTGGTATGGCGAGTATAAAGATGGTCCCACTTACCATGCTCACAAAAGAGCAGCAGCACGGGTAATTTATAAAGACTATTTTCTTGAGTTTAACAACCCATTTGAGAACGACTGATTTAGCATCAATAGAAGAATCGACAACACGTATTTTCTATTTCCTTAAAATATGGTCATTCTTTAAACTTCTGCAAAAAGAATATTCTAGGCTCTTTGTGAGTGTGCGTGCTCAGGTGCTCGCCCCCTAGCTTGAATGCATGTTTGTGAAACAAATTTTAACATACAGATAACTATTTCCTGAGGAATCTATGTTTTGTCTATGTCGGAAAGGGATGAAAACTTGAAGGTATGGCAGCACAAGTCGTTCTGCACAAGTAATCTGTTATATTGGTGTCTCTTTTCCTCTCTTGCCAATTCTTTCCATTTCTCTCTTATTGAAATCCCGCATATGTTCACAACAAACTCTTATAGCCTGTTTGGTGTGCGATATTCAAAACCAGTCAACCAGTGAACATGATTAAGGAAGAAGAGGAAGTCAAATCTGCTCCACTGTACTATATAGTGTTGTCTAATACCGTGCACCAAACATGCCCTTAGTATTCTCTAATCCTCAATCAAGATTCACTTTTGGGCTTTTCTTTCTTAGTTCATTTTCTTTATCACTTCCTAATCCACATATTCAGAAACTGCTCAATTTCTTTGCTTTCTTTTAATCTCCATCTGAAAAGCCCCATTGCTTCTGCAACTTGCTTATTTCCTCCAAGTTGAACCAGCTTTGTTTTTGTAACGATCCAAATTTTTACTTTTAGAATCATTATACATGTATCGTAAAATAATACTTTCATAAATAATTAAAAAAAAAAAACATAATATCTTTTGAATGTGAAAGGTTTAAAACAAATTTTAAAGAAAATACAATAAACATCGTTAAAAATTTTTAACTACTTAAATCATTATTCATTTTTAACCACGCAAGCACAATCCACCTCCAATCGCCTTGGACCCACCTCTTTTAATTACCTATAAAAGATTTAACATATACACGTGAGACATAAATCTCAGTAAATGAGTAATAACGAATTTTCATCTCATATTTAATTACGGAAAATCATAACATATATATGGAGACACGAGAATTAAAATTCGAATTTCGTGGTTATAATTCTCGTGCGTAACGTTACTAAACTCCAGCCCTTTGAATTTATACATATAGGACCCTTATCATAATTGTAGCTAGAATTTTCGTATCATCATATTCATAACATAAATTTTCATAATTTAAATAATGAAAGAACAATTCGTACTACACTTACCTTTCACTTGACAATTCAAAAATGATAGAAAAAATGATTATTGAAGGGAGATTCTTGAGCCGCGTGCTAGGTTGTGTGATTGTGTAAGTGTATGACTAAATTTAATATGAAAAATACAAGAGAAAGAGTAAAGGTGTAGAGACAAAATGATAGAGATCGAGACGAAGAGTGTAAATAATTAGTGAGGGATAGTTCAATATTGAGTTTAACTCCTATTTATAGTGCAAGTTCTTGGACCATGTATGAAAAATTGAAAGGAAATGGCTAGATGTTAGGTATGGTCAAAGCATAATTGGCGCATGTCTTGAAAGTTGTCAAATCAATTCCTTTAATTATGTGATCAAATAATTGACTTGACTTGAATCTTGGTGTAAATAATGCATGTGGTCTAATCAATTATCTTAATTTATGCAGTCAAAGCAATTACTTTGCTTAAAATGTGGTGAATTAATGCATGTGGTTTAGCTCGTCTCTAATGATGGCTAATTGACATATTTACACAAAATTTCATTCAACTTCCAATTTAACTCTTCACTTAGGTATTCAAACTATTGGCTAGTAATTAATAAGGTCATTTAACTAAGTCAATAACCAATAAGGTCATTAGACTTAAATAATGGCGCACTTAAGTCCTAATTTTTTTTATCTAATGACTAGTAATAAAAAAATTCGGGATATTACAGTTTTGCTACACATACGGGTTTTCTACATTCTTCTATGTGCATATATCACCTAAAGATCATTTGACAGTCACCAACATAGATAGCAAGGAAGATTGAAAAACAGAAGCCAAAAAGATGCTTTTGGCAGGAAGGGGGAAGGCCCTTTGTGTAAATGCTCGAACATTGGATCTGTAAGAGCCTGTTTGAGCCCCATTTTTTGCCAATTTTGACGAAGACTGTGTGGCTAAAAAATAAAGAAAAATTTTGGGTTTGTTTGTAATATTATTTTATTGAAGAATGTATGATTAAAAATGAAAAAGAGAAAATTGTATTTTGTAAATAATGGGGACCAAATAAGGACTAAATTCCATGGTACTTGTTAGGGATGGCAATAAAACCCGCCCCGCCTCGAACGGGTTGGCGGGGCGGGGCATGGTGGGGCGCCCTGTAGCGGAAGCCGCCCCGTGGAGGGGGGGGGGGGAGATTAAAAATAATTTTATTTTTAGACAATTCACCCGTTAAAAATCAATTTTGAATTTGTATTTTATTCTCTAATAATAATATAATTTGAAACTTTGAAAATGTAAATAAAAAATTAAACTGGGCAAAAAGTTGCCCCGTCCCGCCGAACCCGCCCCGTTGCCATCACTAGTACTTGTTGATCTTGGAAAGACAATAGCTGGCTCAAGATAGTAGACGAATAAAATACGAGGAAGCTGACCATCAATCTCTAGGTGTGGTACCTGTCAATCAATCGAGCAAAGCATTAGTACCTGCACATAAAATATATGCAAGTTTTAGCCATGAATTAGATATTTAAGCAATTTTATTTCAAAATAGCATTGCAGGACGAGAGATTAATATTTCCCACTGCTCCATTTTCAGATTTGACTTTGTTACACTTGTTATAGCTGAAACTGTTTTGAACTTGCTCTTTTCCATACAGGTTGACATCATGGGTGTTGGTTGTTATTCTTCAAAGGATCTGTGGACATGGAAAAATGAGGGTATTGTGCTTGCTGCAGAAGGAAAAAACAAGACTCATGACCTACACAAGTTGAACGTGCTCGAGAGGCCAAAAGTAATTTATAATGATAAAACAGGAGAATACGTAATGTGGATGCATATCGACAATGCTAACTACACAAAAGCTTCTGTAGGCATTGCTGTTAGTGATTCCCCAACTGGCCCTTTTGATTATCTCTATAGTAAACGGCCCCATGGATTCGACAGCCGAGACATGACAATCTTCAAGGATAATGATGGGGTTGCATATATTATCTACTCGTCTGAGGATAATAGAGATCTTCATATCAGTCCACTTACCGAAGATTATCTTGACGTGACACGAGTCATGAAAAGAGTTCTTGTGGGAAAACATCGGGAAGCACCGGCTTTATTCAAACATGAGGGGATATATTACATGATCACATCAGGATGTACTGGTTGGGCTCCAAACAAGGCTCTTGCACATGCGGCCAAATCAATTTTGGGGCCATGGGAGACGCTGGGGAATCCGTGCATTGGTGGAAACGAAGTTGTCCGGTTTACCACATTCTTTTCTCAGAGCACGTATGTCCTTCCTTTTCCTGGGCTTCCAGGTCTCTTCATTTTTATGGCTGATCGATGGAATCCGGCTAACTTGAGGGACTCGAGGTACGTCTGGTTGCCTTTGACAGTGGGAGGGGCTGCAAATCAGCAGCCTCTTGAGTACAATTTTGGGTCCCCATTATGGTCCAGAGTGTCAATATATTGGCACAAAAGATGGAGGCTTCCTGATATCTAGAGGAAGAAGAAATGAAGATTTTCATAGAGGTGTGACTTCTTGTATAATAAATTTTTGCTTTCTATTAAATTTCTACCATTCTTTTTGCACTCTCTGTAACATAGAAAGAAATTAATATTTACTAGAAAGTAATCTTGTGTAAATTCTATGTCGGACCACATTGGTTTGGACATGTCGATATAATCCTTGTTTATTAGAAATATGGAGACGATTTGATAAGATTGTTCAACACCTTTCTTGAATTCAGTACTTCTCTTGGAATATTGAAAGCTGCAATTTGGGACTTCGACGTGTCCAGAGCAATATTCTGAAATGCGTATGATTAGTTTCAAACTTTTACGAGTCTAAGCTAACCTAGGAGCCAAAAAGCATAAATCGTGACTAGGTGGCAAGTAGCGTCTGGACAAGTCTATGATAGCTTTTTAAATCACTACTAGAGGTATTATTTCTATATTCCCTAGCATATTGTTCTTCACCACTTTTGACATATCATAATTTGCAGATTTTCAACATCGTCCCAACTCTTCATAATTTGCAGATTTATAATCTTCCTAAATTTTAAGAAATTATGAATACACCATTTATTTGTGGTGACCATATTCATCAACCTAATCACGTCGTCAACAATTTTATTTTTCATCTGTTAATAGACTTTAAGAACGCTGCAAATGAAGTAAAGTTGAGCTTGTTCAACTCGTTACTTAAGCGTTACCAAGAAGAGGTTGATAATCTTACCAAGAGAGCAAAATTTGGGGAAAATGCTTTTCTTAACATCTACCAGAAACTTTACGAAGCACCAGATCCTTACCCAGTTCTTGCATCAATTGCAGTAAGTATCAGCTTCCCATGTGATAATGCAAAGCTCAAAATTGCTACAATTGACTGACCAGGTGTTAATAGTCCATATATCATGGTTCCGATTGATTATAAAGTTCGAAAATTCACAGTGGAAAAACATGTATTTGAAGACTATATTTGTGGATAACCAACAAAGAATGGAGAGGAGTTCTTACAGGCCCATGTAGGTGTGCCGGCGAGGCACCGGTGGGTGGGGAAGTCGAGTTCTTCTTGGCCTGCAACGGCTGCTACGCGAATGGAAACCTTGATTTCTTCCTCTCCACTACACTGTCTCTCAGACAGGACGATTGTAGAAACCAGAAGACAGTGCCTGTGGGTGGGGAAGAGAGACACCGGCATACATGTAACGGCTAGAACAGCTGCAGGAAGGAAACTCTCGATTTTTTCTCTCTACTCTAGAAACCAAAAGAAACGATGGTATTATTGATACCTCCCTACCCAATATACGAATGGCTCAACCGACCAACAATTAGCTGCCCAAAAATTCTTCTGGTCACTTATTTGGAAAAATCTGGCTTATGAGCCAGCCAATGAAATGTGGCTTGTGAACAGTGCCATTGCACTCCCTCTGTTAATTGTAGTTAGATTAGGATTAGAAGATTTTAGAGTTGTAAACTGGCTGGCCATACCTGACCCATGCCTAAGATTTTTTGGGCCCGGCATGGCTGGTGAAACCGCCTTCTTGAACATGAGTTGGATTTTTCCCTTTATTAGAGCTCGGGATGTACTTTCCTCTATATTTCTAAATAATTATATATTTATGAAATTTTATGAAAAATAAGTAGCTGAACTTCTAGAGTGATGTAATTTTTGTTAATATGTTACTCTTTATTCTTAAAATTTTGACTGAGGAAGTTTACATTCTTTAACTATCTATGAAGAAATAATGTATTTGAGAATCCAGTACCTGAAAACTGAGAATTTCTCCGAAGGTTTCGCCCATAGAGAATGAGTCAGACTTAAGATTACGCCGAATAGCGTAGTTGATGGACTTTAGTTCAAATTTCGGACAATTCATTGTCGTACCAAAATTATCTATTGATATTAGGTCCTTGTTTAAGTCCCATTATTTTCATTAAAATATATTTTTCCACATTTATTTGACCCATTTCAATCACACTTTTTTTATTAAAATAATATTGCACGCAAATTCACAACTTTTCTTTATTTTTTAATCACATATTTTCTATCAATACACTATTCAAAAATGCATTTGTTGGCAAGAATGGGGCTCGAACAAGGGCTAGAATAGGTCATAGGAGTAAAATGCAATTTCTCTATCACTGTGAATTCCATAAAATACGTGGATAATAATAAGTAATAGTAGCAAAAAAGGACTTTAATAATTAATACAATTGATGTATGATCTTTGTTAACGGGAATGGGACGAAAATAGAATTCCGGTTTTTGCGGCAAATTCTCGCCTCTCACGCCGTTAGTCCCAGTCATTTCTAGCAGCCCGATTGTCATGCGAAGATCCACAACATTAGATGGCGTTATGAAGATGTTCCCATAACAGAAGACCCTTACCAAAAAGAAGGTTTCTACGGTGAATTAAGGGTTATTTCGGACAATTTGTTAAGCTTCCGTCCCAAATATCGGCAATTGAGGAACCTGAGAGAAAATAATATACACAAATGAATGCAACCTTCACTTTTCATTTATTACGAAAAACACCACACATTGCACATTTATTTAGAGTTAATTGTTCCAATGATCACTGAACTTAGGTCAATATCTTTTATTGGTCTCTAAGTTTAAAATATCGAATTTTGGCCATTGAATTTTGAAAAATATTGTAAGTTATTTACTGTAAACTCGATATTTTTCAAAGTTTAACGTTTATGCTAGTTAGTAACGTAAAACATTTTCCAAAGTTCAATGGTCAAAACTCGACATTTTAAGTTTCAGTGAGCAATCGAAGACATGGACCTGAGTTCAATGACCAAAACTCAACATTTTAAACTTCAGTGACCAATCAAAAACATAGACCTAAGTTCAGTGACCAATGGAACAATTAATTCACTTATTTAGGGCATTGCAATTAATATCAATACTCCTACTCCTCGATATTCTTGGTAAGTTAAATTCAACAATAGTAAATAGAACTAGGCTCTAATTCAACCTATTTTTTTTTTTTTTTGTTAAAACGAGTTTTGTAATCTTAATTTTTTTATATATAAACTGAAAAGAAAAAGATAACAAAAGAGAAAAGTAAATAGAGGTGAATGTTTTATTGAGAACCAAATCCCTATATTTTTAGGGAAGAATTAGGGATACAGTAATAATAAAAATTAGGTTTCTGTGTTATAATTCTCATTTAATAATAATCATATTATTTATAACACTCCACTTTGAATGACACATTACAAAATATGCGCCTCTTTAAAAATTGTCAAAAAAATTCAATGGAATAAAACTTGAGTTAAGGAAAAAGGAGTACAAATGCTCTCCCTAACTCCGATAAATAAAACTTCTTGTATCAAATCAACTATGTCTTGTACGTCAATATCTTCAATATTACAATTTCTTATGAAATATATCTCATATTGTCTCGTACAGTGTTTAAATATTACCTGATAAGTGCGTTTTGTGCACTTATTCGTACTATATTACTAAGATTTATGTTGTCAAATTATTAATTTATATTTGACTTGAGTTAATTTTCTTTTGTTTCTAGTTATGGATTCGTTCGAAGTAATTGAAAAAGAAAGAATGATGAAATTGAATGAAATCGACAATTTTGGGGATCAAAGTCTACACTATAGAATTTGAAGGACTAAATTTCATTAATTTGAAAGATTGGATAACTTGGAGAAACACATAGTCAATGGGCCATTAACCAATTTGAATTGAGGAAATTATACCATTTACCTATTTAAAATTAATATTCGAAATTTACTAATCACTTTTCTATTTTCCATTTATATTGTAATATAATAGTATCACTAAAAATGATCAAATCACCTAACTCCTTATAATAATTAAATTAATTACTGTCCTTACTCTATTATCATTGAATGCTAATTAATTATCTCAAATACTCAAATCACTCCCACAAATTAAGCTTTGCATCAGTTCATTCCCAAATCGAGACTGACGCAAGTAATTTCCCCTTTTCTTTTTGTTCCTTGAACATCTAAAATTCTTTCCTCGTTTCTCATCCTCTAAGTAGCAGCTTTGCTCTAATTATTGCAGTAAAACCCTTTCCCTACGTACACAAACCTATAAAATGCATACAAATAATTTCTTTGATTCCTGACATGGAAACGATATTTCAGTTCAATTTCATGTTTCTTGGAGTGTAGACATTGTTTCATTAAATTATTCAAATTATGCTCATACACTTTTCATTTTCACCTTCTTTCTGGAAAATTGAAGCAGGTTTTTATTGAAAATATGCCTAATTGGACTTATTATACATTTTTATTCTTTTTAGGCATGTCGATTTTTTTTAGGTGGTGAACAAGGAAATATGGGATCTTAAGAACTAGATGGATGATATTGGATAATGAAAAAGTTTACAGGTTGTTGTATTGTATTGAAGGAGGGTAGTTGATTGATACTACTGTCGGTGTAATTTCTGGCGCTGTTTCAGGGGCCATTACATCGTCATTTGATGTAATTAACCAATATGGATTACAAATGATATGGTCATGAACCTCCACGTGTTAACAATTATATTTCATTTGTTCAATTGTTTTTTATATTAACACCATGTAACATGTCCTGTAACATACTAAACAGTCGTGTCTATTATTTTTGTGAAAAAAATGTAAACTATTTCTAATCATGCAATGTCTAGTAGGTTCGTTAAGTTTTATAGTCTTGTAATTTGGTGATACTCATTTTTATGACTTTACCTTAAAAAAACTCAACTTTTAATATCTTGGTGAATTACATAGAGATGGATAAATTAAACCTGCCATACCTTTAGTGAGAGTTCCACACCATGAGAAGAGAGAAAACTTGACATGCAATGTAAGAAGGCCTGTAACCTTTATTAGCAATCACTAACAAGCCCTTGATGTCTTGGTTCAAAGAAAATTAACGTTATCGTCAAATTATTTTTAATATGACAACAAAATGCAAATTCATCTTGGTTTGTGAAATTTCAAAACAACTGTACAGGAGACGAGACTATCCATAGCAAGATTTGAAAATAAATTATCATCGATTACTAGAGATGATGAAGAATCTTACACATACTATTTATTAC